GCGGTCTAGAAAATTACTTTGTAAATATAACTCATACTGTGCATGCTAAGCTATTCATCAATTGCCCTGTTGAAGAAAAATAGGCAAAAATGATAGATTTAAGGAATAAAAACAAAATATGATTTGGCTGAATTTCGCAGTTGTGTGTGTGTGTGTGTGTGTGTGTGTGTGTGGATGTGAGTGCATTATTAATGACATTTGTAGAATAGTAGTATAGCCTGTATTTAAGGACATCTTCTGGGAAAAGATGGCCAATACTTATTGTGCATCCAATTTATACATATTCATTTAATCATCACAACGTCCATGTGAAACTAATGAAATCAGCCCTTAATTTTCAGAGTTGTTCTGAGGATTCAAGATAATATGCAAAAAGTGCTTAGAAAGACACTTGCACGTAGTAAGCCCTAAAGGGATATTAACTATTATTATTATTACATGACTTAATTGAGGATTTGCTTTTTTTCTCTTTTGGTTTACAGCGTACATAATGAAACACAACCACCATTACAGGAGAATCCTCTCTCTCCCCCCACCTCCACCCTAGGTTCCCCCTTCTCCCCACTCCTAATCTCTCCCACTTCCCACCTTCTATAGTAAGGTTACGATAAAGCCTCCACTGTGCAGAAGCTATTGATTGTTTGATAGTTTCTGTGTCTCAGCAGTCAGACAGCCCCCTTGGCCTGGTTATATTGTATTTAACAATCTCCTACTCACCTCATGTCGGCGACATACGTACCACCCCTGACCAGGATATATTGAGTTAGAAGAATTCTGAAAGGTGAATAAAGGACTTGTCAAATAACAACTCACTGCCATGTTCACTTAAAAAGCGTTCAGGCTTCTTATTTGAATGAACATTCGATTCGGTTCAATAGATGGTCATAATAGCATGGTGGAAAGGCATAATCAGGAAAGGAAAAAGTAAAAAATAAAGGCGTTAGCCTACATTGCTTCTGTCCTTTTAGATTGACATATTGACACTGGAATGAATTAGATGAAACAATAATATATAGAGGTTTTATCCATGAATCACAGAATAAATCCCCACCCCCACCCCTCAAAAAAATGTTTTTCATCTAAGGATTCAAAAGTCCCAGCTATTTCCAGAAGCAACATCTGTTGCTTTGCCAGTTTCCACAGAGATGAGCTTGTGTTGACTTTCATCACATTTGTTCAAATCTGGAATCTGGTTAAAACATGCAAACAGTTGCATTGCCAGTTAAGTGATGCATCATATCGTACCCTTTGAATAATGCTATTTTTCTGCATTAATTTTGATTCCAGTGACATTTTCAATTATGGATCCAAGTATGAATTATTTTAAAATAATTTGGGTTAGAGTAAGAAATAGAAAATAACACATTCTAGAAGGAAGAACACTATGATACATACATGTTCTTAGAAAACAGAGTTATACATTAAATCTTTTCAACTGGAATTTGTATTTTTTTAGCACCATTTTTGGAATAACTTGTAAAACGAAGTAGTCTCTCAATTGCATGTTATGTTAGCACCTTGTTTAAACTACGGAGTGACCATCATAGACATTTCCTGTTATCCAACTTTTAATGCTTTCCTATCGTTATCCAGAGGTTGATTGCATATGAGTATTTTGAAGTGAAACCATGTATAAAAACTATGATATTTTTAAAATGGAAATGTCTGATGTTTGTGTACCTATATCTAATAAAAGTGTAAAAGAAACAGCAGAAGAACAAACAAAAGTTAAAGTGCTGGCAAATATTCTTGGGATCATTACCGAAGTATGATAATGGATTTAGTCACTCAGCTTGCTGCAGGTCTTTGCAATACACCGAGTCCACAGTCAGCCTCTCCTGCTATTATGTTATCAGAGATAACAGGTGGAAAATATTAAGAAACTCTAAATGTTGCAAACATAAGTAATGCATTTTTTCTATATTTTAAAAAATTTTGGATATTTAATTGACCATTTATAAAAGAGATTTGCTATCTGATATCTAGTGATTTTTAAATTTAATTTTCTTTATTTCTCATATGGGACAAATGACTAATATGTCAGAATTTTTCCTTATGTTAATTCAATATAACTAATTTACAGGAAGAACAGGAATTGCAAGTGATCACTACAGAAGGATAAGCACAGCAGTCATAATTTTCTGAGCATTGCCTAAATACTAGGCTTTGTTCTGTACTCTTCACTTATCTCAAATTCTCAACAGCATTATAAAGGAAGGTGTCATTATCTCTACTTTGTAAAAGAGAAAACCAAGGTTCAGAGAGCTTTAGGTAATTTTCACAAGTTATTTAGTAGTGGAATTGGTAGTCAAATTCATACACTTTTGATTTTAAATTTTGTTCCAGTGTTTTCTCTATTGGTAGAAATAACTGAACAAATCTAGGATCTAAACTTTTAATACTAATATTGTTATCTTCATATATAAATACTAGAGACCCGGTGCACTGATTTGTGCATCAGTGGGGTCCCCAGGCCTGGCCTGTGGGGATTGGGCCGAAACTGACTCTCTGACATCCCCCGAGGGGTCCCAGATTACGAGAGGGTGGTTCTTGGGTGATGCACCCTGGAATTGGGCTCCCTCCTCTCTGGTTCCCAGTGTCACCAAAGAACCACAGCTACCAAGTCACCCCAGCACAGCAGCTCCTGTGTTGATCGTCTACCCGCTGGTGGTCATTGCACATCATAGCTACTATCTGGTCGGACGGTCAAGCAGTCACTTAGGCTTTTATATATATAGATTTCTGGGGGCTATTCCTGATATAATGTTGATTATTAAGACTGATACTTGGTCACTAACAGATTTTTAGCATCATAGTTAAATTGATAGGTTCCTTAAAATTGGTTTCTTAACAAATATACAGATGGCAAAATAAAAACAGCAACAACAACCCCAGAAATTAGAATAATACTGACACCTTTTTTTTTTCTACAGCTTCCTAGATTTGCTCCCAAGAAAGGTCAAGATATTTAAACTCTTTGAATAACATATTCTTTATTTTAAAAATGGATGTAAGAATATTTTCATATCAGGATAATATTGAAGATTAGAAATAATGTAGAGAGAGAAGCTAATAGTGCCTGAGATATGATAAGTATTTATTTTTGATATAAGTTTCTTTTAAAACTTTCTGGAAAAAGACAGTATTATAAGTGGCAACAACTTATTCTTTGGTGATATATAACTGATAATAATATAAGGTGAGATATTTGGAAAGAATCAATGAAGGATTTATCTTTAATATGGCTTTTCAATTATGCACTTTATTCTAAGTATTGTATGTATAATTATTAGTCAGGGGGAAAGGACAGAATGTCCCTTTATGCAAACTATTCTAGGCTTAAACACAATAGAAATTATTTATAAAGTGACAAAGGGAGAATAGAAATGAAAGACAAAAGACTGTCATTGTTTAAATTACACTTAATTATTGAAGAGATGCATTTTTTTAAAGATTCATCTATCATTTTACATTGTAATAGCTTCTAATAGAAGTCTGAGAATAAAGGTAGAGGGAAGTAGTAAATTTTGCAACTTAGAGAAATTGTGTCTTTTGACTAATATAAGACTGAAATTTGATATGTTATTAATTTATTCATAGACTTCCAGTCTTCACACAATGAATATTTACAAGTTGACTGATTTAATAGTAACTCATCCTATATAATAAAAGCCTAATATGTTAAGTGCCCGGTTGTCTAGTCATCCGTTCAACCAATCAAAGAGTAATATGCTACTGATATGCTAAGGCCGCTCAACTGCTCGCTATGATGTGCACTGACCACCAGGGGGCAGACACTCTGACTGGTAGGTTAGCTTGCTGCTTGGGTCTGGCCAATCGGGACTGAACCAGGCAGGCTGGACATGTCCTGGAGCCCTCCTGCATTCCCTCCCCAGCAGGCCAAGCTCCCGCATCCCTCCTCAGCCCCGATGGTGCATCGGTGGGGTCCCTCGGCCTTGCCTGCATCTTTTTGCAATCCGGGACCCCTTGGGGGATGTCGGAGAGCCAGTTTAGGCTCGATCCCGCAGGCCAGGATATGCCTCTAAGCTATCAATCTTTATGCACCAGGCCTCTAGTCTTAAATATTTGTTTATGAAGAGAACACACTTGCGTAAAACAAACTAGCATGAGGTAAATGTCCAAGTGATATAATAAATAAATAGTAAAATTTGGCATTTGATATCCAGCATCGGTTTCAGAGATTCTTATAGCAGGAATAGAACTTGAAACATCACGTGGCCCAGATTACTGATTTTAGCATGTAGATTTCTAACTTGACCAAAACTTTACCTGGTCTTAAAGGTCCAAAAGAATGGAGCCACCACAATGACTTCCCATTATCTAACAAAGACATATTTCCAACTTTTATTTATTTAGGAAATACTTGGGTTAGTTATTTTTGCTGTCATTTATAAGAACAAACTGTGTGTAGACATTATACAACATATTTTACATTTCTGTACATGTTATTTATTATATTTCAATCTCAGTGCTGTCCTGTGGCACTGGTGTTATTTTCCATGTTTTATTCAACAGAATAGGGAAGTGATGCTCAGTTAAATATATTTCATAAGTTTACACGATGGTAATGTTTGGATTCAAAGGCAAGTTTGTTTCATTAATCACACTGTTTCTTGAATGATGGAAAATTATTATGTAATTTCTACACTTATCTCCTTATAGAGATAAATATGTTGCTATTGTTGCTATTATTCAATGCCCTTTTATTTTGGTTTATGGATAAACAATTAAGTATGCTATTGGTGCATTAACTTCTAAACATGAAGTGCCCCATGTTTTTCATTGGAAGAAAGTATATGCCTCTAAGCTACCAACCTTTATGAAAACTTTTAACATATTCTGTTACTTATTCTACTCAGATGGACACTCCAAAGCTTAAATAAGAAACCAAGATAAATTCCTTAGTTCAAACTAGCTTCACTTGTGCTTCCACTATGCATAAGTTTTATCAAGGACTTTTTTTTTTTTTTTGCTTGCAGGGATGACTTGTCAAGCTCGAACATCATACACTGAAGATGAAGTTCTTTGGGGTCATCGTTTTTTCCCTGTAATTTCCTTAGAAGAAGGGTTCTTTAAAGTTGATTACTCCCAGTTCCATGCAACATTTGAAGTCCCCACCACACCTTACAGTGTGAAAGAACAGGAAGAAATGCTTCTTATGTCATCCCCTTTAATAGCACCAGCCATAACTAACAGCAAAGAAAGACATAATTCTGTGGATTGCTTAGATGGCCTAGATGACATTAGTACAAAACTTCCATCCAAGCTGCAGAAAATGACGGGAAGAGAAGACTTTCCCAGGAAACTGTTGAGGATGAGTTCTACAACTTCAGAAAAAGCCTACAGCTTGGGAGATTTGCCCATGAAACTTCAACGAATAAGCTCAGTTCCTGGCAACTCAGAAGAAAAACTGGTATCTAAAGCCACCAAGATGTTGTCTGATCCCATGAGCCAGTCAGTGGCTGACTTGCCACCCAAGCTTCAAAGGATGGCTGGGGGAGGAGCCAGGATGGAGGGGAATCTCCCCGCCAAATTAAGGAAAATGAACTCTGATCGATTCACATAACAAACACCCTCTTAGGCATTATTTACTGTGGGATTTAGTAATAATCTAATATTTGGCTGATGAGGGAATCCTCTCTAAGGAATCTGAAAGGTACATTTCCTCCCCAGTCAGATATGCTTATTTGAGAAGCCTTATTTCCCAAGTACTACTACTGTGCAGAAAGCAAACGTTGTGAAGGGAGGGCATCATAAGGAAATTCCTACTAATGGGCATGTATTATCACATCATGCATGCAATAATGTGCAAATTTTGCATTTAGTTTTATGGCATGATTTATATATGGTATATTTATATTGTATATTCTGGAAATATATATATATATTTAAAGGGGTGGTATTCTCCATGACATTTCTAATATGTAAATTAAGCCGAAGATGAATAGCTATCTTTCAGGGCGATAAAACTACATATATGTATGTATATGTATATACACATATATACATATATATATGAACACACACATGCATACATACATATATATCTGATAAAATTGTGATGTTTTGTTCAGAGTTGTAGTTCTTGTGCATGTTTACTTTATTAAGCTAGGAAGGCTACTGGCATTAATTATTAATACCAAATATTTTAGCCTTAAATTATTTGTCATTTTTAAAATCTAATTTAATGTTTTCTGCTGTTTAAGGTCCTGAAAGGGTTTCAATTGTACTTTATATGAGGGAGTCACACAAGTCTGTGCTATTTACGGCCCTGCCAAAATATAACCATTATATATTTAACTTGTAAATTTTAGAGTATATCAATATGTTGAAGATTTTTTACAATTTTTAAAACTTGCTAGTACTGGGGGGAAATAAAGATAAATAAATTTGAGAATTGGTCCTCTCCTGGACTAATTAAAATCTGGACACCTGTTTTGTATATGATTTAACACAACTGTGAGCTCTGAACAAATGTTGAGTCATTGTGATAGTCAGTAGCCAAGTTATACTGAATGCAGAGAATGTGTGAAATTACATAATTAATGGTCCCTGTTTCAAAATGAGTCAATTTCCACTTTGTTTCTGAAACTTCTGTCATTTCAAAAACCAATAATTTTTTCTTGCGGAGACACAACAATACACTGAAAGAGATGATAAATATTTATGTTTTAAATATATATGTCTTATTGAGTGTCTTCTTTTCTTTCCAGAGATTTCTTTTATTTTAAAAATTTTAAAGACATTTTTATTGATTTCAGAGAGGAAGGAAAAGGGGAAGAGAAGTAGAAACATCAATGATGAGAGAGAATCATAGATCAGCTGCCTTCTGCATGCCCCACACTGGGGATCTAGCACACAACCCGGGTATATGCCCCCACCGGGAATCAAAACCATGACCTCCTGGTTTCTAAGTCAACGCTCAATCACTGAGCCACGCAATTTGGGCTAATTTTATTTTTTTATTACAGTTTCCATTCAACACTTTTTTGTGTGTGTTAGTTTCAGGTGTACAGCACAGCAGACAGACATTGATACAGTTTACAGAGTTCCCTCCGATTCTCTCTCCTTATGCCTTTCTTTTGTTGATGGCATTAGTTGTAAGAGGACAGACTTTGTTTCCTCACCTGGGGAACCTATCCTATCCAACACCTGTCACTCAGTTTGTGACGAATGTTTTGTATATACTTGAGAGAATTTAAAATTTGATGAGTTGCAAGTATTTTACCCATCCATTTCTTTTTTGATGTTATTGTTTGGTTGGTTAAACACTGATTTCATTGGTATATTGGATCCCTGGCCTACCAAAATAATTTTAGCAGTACTATTTTTTAACCTTAAGGTTTTATATTTATAATTCATTACAGAATCAAAGCTATTGCTTGGCGGAACAACTACAAAATAAAGATTTGGAATGCAGATATTTTAGTGAAAATTTATAAGTGCTCTTTATCAGAATATAATGGATTTTCCTATAAAACTTTTTGAACATTGCAGTGCAAGTCTGCCCATAATTAATCTATTTGTCCTTATTAACATGCAAATCCTTAATGGCTGGTTTGGGCACTCATCATTTCCTGTTTTTAGCAATCTTGTGATAATTCCCTTATTGGAAAATTATTACATCAACAATTCAATCACTGATTACAAGAATACCTTCTGGCTACCTCTGTATCAACCAAATTCTGTAGGTGCAAACATATACCAGGGAATTGTTACTGGCAAAATGATCAACCTTGAGCATCCATCCACTGTGAATAAAGCTGGTTGCCCTACCCCTTAATCTCTGAACTTTCCTTTTTGCTGGATATAAGAAGTGAAATAGTAGCAGAAAGAGGAGTTTCGGGGGGTGAGGGGAGGGCGGAGTGGGAGGGGATAGTATATTTATTACCAGTGGAAGAAACTGCATAGATCATTTAGCCCAAACACTGAAAACTAAATAGAGCCATAATTCAGTTTGGAGAGCTATTTTGTCTTTGATACCAAGTAGAATATGGGCCCCAAAATGAACTCTCCAAATATTTTCATTAATTCACTTAACTTTTTTTTTTTTTTTTTTTTGCATGCTTTGTTTTTTTATGTCCCAGGATTTCTCGCTCCTGGGGGATTTGGGTATGACTAAGTCAGAGGAGGTCACTGCCCATTTGAACAATGCATATCAGTAGGAGAATGGGGAGGGGCACCGTGAGACAGACAAAAAACAAATGAGATGATTTCAGATAGTAACATATTACTTAAGGAAAGGAAAACAGGGTAAAATGAAAAAATGACTGGGTGAAATAATAATCATTTTAGAGTAGGTTACTGGTTTAGGGAGGGGGTGATACTTAAACAGAGACTTGGATGATGAGAAAACAACCCCTCTTGCCAAAATTAATATTTCTTAGTGAATGCTATTTCTTTATTTTTACCACATATGTATGGGAAAGATATGATTTCTGCATGTAATTGCAGTTTAACCCCTATTGCTAAGTTGCTCATAAGTCCCAGTTTCCATTCAAGAGTGCCAGCTTGTCCTGTTGTACCTGTGTAATTATTAACAGCACTCCCTTTCACTCTTAGAGTGTCTTGGTTTGAATGATATATTATATGGTGACTCTACATTTTTGTTGAAACTAACTAAATTATAAAGTCTAATATATTTGGATAAAAATAAAGAATTGCTTTTATTCTCCCTTTGTTGATTTTTTTGACACTGATCATTCCACACAAAATCATTGCAGTTTCATATATGGAAAAGTGACTGGGTGAAATAATTATTTTAGAAGAGGTGACTTCTTATCAAAGTGATTTTGTGTAACATTTGTTCGTTCTACACGTGACATGTTTTCTCAGCAGTGAAATGTTATGCATTTTATTGACTGAATAAAAAATAAACCTGTGGCGTTTCCATTTCAGGAACTTGTATAAGCTCAAATCAAAGAGAGTAAAAGTCAACTTAAGCCAATGAAGCTTTCAGCCCACCAAAATATAATGTGTTCATTGAACTGAATAATTATTTAACAACTGCAAACTAATCCCTTTTTATGGGATTTTTATGGTGTATGTAGCTCCTGTCATGATAAAATATTTCATTCTATTTATCAAAATGATGTAAATAAAAGAAATACAATTATTTTGATAATGCTCATCTTCATTTTAAATATTATTCATCACTTTCAGCAATAGGTGAATAGGCTTTTATAAATACTTACCAAATGAAAAATAAGGATATATCATTAATTATTTCTGAAAAAATTCTTATGCTGTTCTAAATACATTCATATATGGCTTTAAATACTATACAAAAGCATTTAGCTGTCTGATTATTCAAGAGCCACTTTGTCTAGACAAGATGGAACCTTAATGGATCATTTCTGTGGGAGGAAGAGTGTGATTATGGGAAGGTGTCTTACACACTGTATTATGAAATTTTCTATCATTCCATACCATGAAGAGAGTTCACCTTGGATGCACAGCACATCTGTGAGCTCTACTTCAGTAGTTGTGCTTGAATTACATAAATACTTAATTACCATCAAACTAATTTCATTGTCTGGCATGCAATTTATAATTATTTAAATGAACAAGGTCATTTAGGTTATAAAAATATAAAATCATATATTCAATACTGCAACTTCAGTATTATAAAAACTATATTTAACTTTCAAATCATGATTGGGTTTAATATTAAAGTGTGTGCATTACTTTTCCACCTCCCAACAGTTAACTACTCATATTTCTTGATTCAATGTGATTATCAGAAGACTCTTAACTCCTAAAAGGTAATAATTTAATCCGTCACAATACCATCCTTGAGGTTAATTTTTATTTTGGCTCCTTATTGGTGAGACATGTCAGAAATATGGAACCTGGACTTCATGCACATTATTTGAGATCTGCATTTCTTGGAGGTGTCTTCATGGACATCTTCTCCTTTGCTGAGCCAGAGTGTTTCAAAAGCCACAGTAAGTACAACAGACAAATCCTTGTTTTCTTTAAATAAGAGGTCACCTTTTTAAAAAGTGTTCTGTTGCTTTTTTGAAAGAGTTTCATAGAAAAAGCATATAGTATTCCTAACTTTGGATCAGGCCAGTTCTGTGATATGTAATATGCCAACTCCTTGGTACCTCTCAGAATTAATTCAAAAAGCCAAGTTCTTACAGCTTCTGGCCTAGAGGAGTTCAAAGAAAATGGATCTCATCATTTAGTAGAATATATTTTTTCTTTTTTCAAATTCTGATTTTCTTACCTGAAAAGTCTTGAAATCTTGGCTGTCTCAGAATATTTGGGCTCTGTGTGATCAATGAGTACTGTGGACAGCAAATAAGGTAGGGCCCCTTACCTCCTCACTGCTTACTAAGAATCTCATCCCTAACTCCTGCTTATCCTTTCCCAGCTCCGCATGTCAATCATTTGCATGGTGATCTGCCCACATTATTTGAATCTTCGAAACAACTATGTGGTAGAGATTTTACAGTGAAAAAAACTAATTCTCAGGTAGTCAGTCCATTTAGTCTGTTTTTAATTAAATTAAATCTACAAACATGAGAAGTCCCTGCCCTCTTGGGTGGTTCTACTGTTATTTACATGCAAATCCCTTAACCATTCTTAAATTGCTTCTTGATTTTCCATTTGGGAACATTATCTATTTGCTTTTAACTGAAGTAGATGAAAATCCAATTTGGTTTTGTTTTGTTTAACTCTTGCTACCCACTACACCTCCACCATATCCACCCTACCCTAAATTTCCAATGTTGTTACAGCATGCTTTAATTAGATTAACTATCAGTGTTTTCTTTAAGTGCTATAACAATTGAGCCCATGTCTTTTTTTTTTCTTTATTGATTAAGGTATTACATATGTATCCTTATCCCCCTATTGCCCCCCACCCCCCACTCATGCCCTTCTCCCATCCCCCTGCCCCTCCGTGTCTGTGTCCATTGGTTAGGCTTATATGCATGCATACAAGTCCTTTGGTTGATCTCTTCCCCTTACCCCAACCTTCCCCTGCCTTTCCTCTGAGGTTTGGAGGTCTGATCGATGCTTCTCTATCTCTGGATCTGTTTTTGTTCATCAGTTTATGTTGTTCATTATATTCCACAAATGAATGAGATCATGTGTTATTTATCTTTCTCTGACTGAGCCCATATGTTTTGATCATTTTCCCATTGTGTTGGGATCTCCCTTTATCATCATGCTGGGGAATTCCATTTATGGCATTCTTGATGTAGAAACCCTGTTTTATGAGGCATGTATTTTCATCTTTTCTTGGTTTACTTCTTTGTTTTCACTACACACATTTTTCAGGAGCTTCTCATAAAAAAATATGATAGTGAACTTTTTGAGACTTTGATTTTTAAAATAATCAATCTGTACTTCCTAACTAATATTAATAATTTGGCCTGGTGTAGAAATCACTTTCCTTCAACATTTCAGTGACATTGTTTCTTTTCTTTTTCTTTTTTTTTTTCTTTATCGTCTAATGTTGCTACTGAGATGTCTGATGCTCCTCTGAGTTTTAATTCCTTTTTAATTTAAAGCTTTCAGAACATTATAATCTTGCCCTCTGTTCTTAATTTGCAAGATGTTCTGCCTAAGTGTGAGTCAAATTTAGTCCATTTTGCTCTGCCTTTTCAGTTTGGACAGTTTTCTTAATTTTTTTTTATTTCCCTCTATTTTTCTCTATTCTGTCGTCCTAGAATTTTCATTATTTGCCTGTTGGAACTCTTGGAATGATTTTCTAATGTTCTTACATTTTCTCTTTTCTTATTGT